TGTCCTGCTTTTCTTTAGGAGACAACCCCCTTTCTCATGAAAGGAAATTAAATCTTTCGCGTTTGCTGCCTCCTCTCTTGCGCAGGGCCCCTCCACCTTCCCATCCCTAAACCCTGCCAGGCTTGGAGAAGTTCTCTGTAGCTGCTCGCCACACCCCTCCCTGCCCAGAACTCCCGGGACACCTGCACACGCGCCTGGGCTGTGCACCAGGACTGGCGCCGGCCACACCCCGCTCGCCCGCCCTCGGGGTGGGGACCCCCGCCGCCAGCGGCGCAGCCACGACGGGGTTAAGGCTAGGGGCCGGGGGGAGGGAGGGGGCTGTGAGGGGCGGTGCGGAGCCAATAGGCGGCTGCAGAGTCCCCGAGGCCGCGAGCTGGGAGCGCGGAGCCAGGAGCCGGGAGCCGGGAGCTGAGCGAGCCGGGCTGGGGCCGGGCAGGAGCGGAGCGGAGCGGAGAGGGAGCGCGCCCGCCCCAGCCCCGAGTCCCGCCGCCTTCCCCGCCGCAGCGCGGGCCAGCGGCCACCGCCCAACCATGGAACCGGACAACAGCCCTAGGAAGATCCAGTTCACGGTCCCGCTGCTGGAGCCGCACCTTGACCCCGAGGCGGCGGAGCAGGTGCGGAGCAGGGCGGGGCGGCAGGGGACTCGCCCAGCCAAGGACGAGGGACCCCAGGACTGTCTGATCCAAGATCCCTGCCTGGTCCTCCCCGAGCAGTGCGCCTCTAAGGGCGGATGCGCTCAGTTTGGGGGTCTCCCACCCCCTCCCCCACCGTGGGAGCCACACGTCCCTATCCTTGCTTCTTGGAGACGGACAGAAGGAAGAGCGCCTCCCCTGGAAGCTCGTCCCCACCGGAGTCGCTCTCTGCCTCCCCAGCCCCGGGGGAAGGGGCTGCTTGAGGACACGACCCCTCTGGCCTTCGCCAGTCTGGGGTCCTCCACCCAGCCAACCCCGCGGGTTTCTGAGCTCTGCGGGGGCGCTGCGCCGAAGGGTCCCCGCCGCCGCTGGGGAGGGTCCGGGGAGGGGGGGGAGTAATGGAGGGAGCCTGGTGCTGTGGGTGTAGGAGTGGAAAGAAGAGCAATAGCCCGCCCAGCGCTCTCCTAACTAGGAGCGAGCCTTCAGGATCCCAGAGAGTGAGAACGCGAAGGTCTGGGGAACACTGAGAGGGCTGGGGCTTTGGGGAGAGGGGTGGTCCCGTCTGCAGGCTGAGGCTCCCCTGGCTGCAAGTCTGGACACGTGGGTCCTTTTTACCCAACTACTGCCCTTTGGAGCGGGAAGTGGGGGGTGGGGTGGAGAGAACGGCCCTGGGAAGCCACAGGCAGGGGCTTTCGAGGGACTGGGGTTCAAGTTGAGCGACAGGCAGGGGAGAAGCACTGTGCTGGCCTTTGCTCGAGGGGTGGGAGTCCAGAGCCCGGCCCAGCCTCCTGGCCTGGCCTATTCTTAGCTCTGAGCAGCCTGGCAGAGGCAGCAGCAGCCTGTGAGAGTGTGTGAGCAAGTGTGTGTCTCAGGGACAGTGAGCGTGAGCGGAGAGGGTGACCACCCGTGGTCACTACTACAGCCTGTTTGCCAGATAATTGTTCATTTCTCCATCTCCTTTGTGTCCTCTGTCCATTTGCCCGGGCATCGTTCTTCCTAAAGAATATCCATTCCCACAAGGTCAGTTCCCTACTTCCCCCAATTGGCTGCCAGGGCCCTGCTGGCCTCCCCACCTGAAAAAACACTAGCCTGTCAGGAGGGGCTGACAGTGTTCTTTCTGTTGATCCAGCTGGTTGGTAGAACAAGGTCTGGATGGGAAGGGGAAGGGAAGGTACACACTCTCTCCCTATAACTTCAGCTTCCCAAGTGTGCGTAGGGTTTAGGTCCCTGGGTCCCCATCCTCTCTCTGGCCTGGGGGAGCCGCATCTCCAGATCTCTGAGGTGGGATATTAGAGGGAGGGACTGTGGGGAGACCTCCAAGCTCCTGAGGATGAGGAGGGTGGAGAGCCAGGAGCATGGGGAGTGGTCGCTGGGGTCAGGAGAAAGGCTATGGTGCCTGCAGGCAGGGAACTAGCAGAGATAACCTCAGAGCCAGGAAGAAAGGGCCCAAGAGTGTGGTATGTGGGGGTTTGGGGTGAGGTTTCCAGCAGATATGCCTTCCATTGGCACAAACAGGTATCACTACGTGACACCTGCCTCAGTGTGGGGTCAGAGGAGGCAGGTGCAGTGTGTGTTGGGCGTTGAGGGGGAGGCCAGCTGGTTTGGGGGTGTAGGGTCAGAGGAGAAGGATAAGGCCATGCTAAGGAGCCAGAGGGAAAACAAGAGCTGGGCCTTGAGCCTGCTTTTCTCTAATCTTCAGAAATCTATCTGCCAAGCCTGAAATTTTACCTGCAGTCTAACCCCAACCCCTCCTGCTGTGTTATCCACGTGTGCAGGCAAAAAGCTCCAGGTTTGGCAGGAGCTCCTATCCCAGACTGACAAGGGAAGGCAAAAAACTCTCCGAAGATCTGCATTAGGGAGCACAGGATGGCAGGGGGTGAGGGGTGCCCACAACTACCAGGTCGTTGGCGTGACAGGTTTGAAGATAAATCAGAGGCAAAGGCACCAAGTGTCCTTGAGAGCTAAGATTTGGGATGCGTGGAAGAAAGAAAAGAGCATAGTTCGGGTGTCTGGGAGGTGCTTCGGGAAGTCTGACTTTGTTCCCTCACCATTCTCAAGGACACTGAGTGCTTAGAAATCTTGTCCAAGGCAAGGAAATTGGCTAAGGAAGGGATCACAGAACCCTGCTGCCCTTTCAAAGTCTCCCTCTCAGGTTCCCAACTCCCACTAATCTGCACCCTCCCTCTCCCTGTCTCTTTCACAGCCAGCCCCCTCCCGCAGAGCAAGAGAGAACTGGAGAGGAGTCCCCTACTAGGAGGAGGATGGCCCCACCCACATACAGGAAGCACACAGGCCTGCCTGCTGGCACCCTGCACATTTGCACCAGGAATAGCTAGAGATGGACTCAGCTAATGTTTGTGCGGTGCACGCATATATGCGGCGT